GCAGCTCTTAATATTTTTTCTTTATTCTCTATGTTTTGATTATTATATGGCGAGGAGATTTTTTTTTTGGTTTGATCTCCCCCCCCCAAGCCTGCGTGTTCTGCAAGGTCCTTTGCTCAGGAACAGTTTTCTGCTCCTACAGTAAGGCTACCCACGCAGAGTGGTGAGTGCCTGCCTACTGGGCAGGTCTCAAGGACCCCCCCACCAAAGGGAGCACGCGCACCTTCAGCTAGTGCGGCAGGGTCTTCTGTCTTATACTCGTCCCTGCTCTGCCCCCCAAGTTTCCCCTTTTATCCGTGGGTCATTGGACTACCAGGCGTCCATGTTTTGGTGCTGAGGAGTTCCATCTGGACGGGACAGTTCCTGCTTCTACACTTAAGAGATACACCCAGAGACTCAGTCACAGCAAAGACTGGACCAAGACACCAGGCCTTTCCTGGCTCCATTTGAAGGAAGAGATGGGAAGGCGCCAATGCAAGACTTCCTCCAACAACCTGAAAGGCAACATGACATCGCCAGAATCCAGGGATCCCGAAATAAGAAGAATTGTACACTCTACTCCAGAAAAATTAGAAGAAATGGACCCAAAAGTGAATTATATGAAAATAATAGAAGACCCTAAACAGGAGGTGAAAAACTGTCATAAACAATTAGGGATTACAAACAAAAAGGTAGAGGAAATGAATAAATCGCTCAAAGTTACCCAAGAAAACTAAGAGAAGCAAGAAAAAGCAATCAAACAGGTAAGGGAAGCGGTTCAAGACTTGAAGAATGAAATGGAAGTAATGAAGAAGACACAATCCGAGGGAAGGATGGAGATGAAAAATCTGGGTAAACGAACAGGAACTACAGAGACAAGTACTACCAACAGAATACAAGAGATAGAAGAAAGAATGTCAGACACTGAAGATACCATAGAGAAAATAAACACACTGATCAAAGAAAACAGCAAAAGCAACAAATTCTCATCACAAAACATTCAGGAAATCTGGGACACAATAAAAAGAACAAAGCTAAGAATAATTGGGATAGAAGAAGGAGAAGAAGTACAGCTCAACAGTCCAGAAAATATATTTAATAAAATTATAGAAAACTTTCCCAACTTAAAGAAAGATATTCCTTTGAAGGTTCAAGAAGCATACAAAACACCGAATAGACTGGAGCACAAGCTGAAGGTGCCCAGGTTCCCTTACTGGGGACCTTGAGGCCTGCCCGGTAGGCAGGCACTCACCGCTCTGGGTGGGTAGCCTTAGTGTAGGAGCTTAAAACTCATATAAACACTTTTGATCTGAGTAAAAGCTAAATCTGTTATGCGCACACTGCAAGGCCTTGAAAAATCTCTGTGTATGGTGGCAGGAATCTGCTATACTCTCCTGCCTGTGCAGTCCTTCAGATACTGCTGCATGACCAGGTGGGGAGTACTGAGCAATAGTCATGGTCTCAGTTACTTTCCTCCTGACCTTGAGTGGGCACACAATCATCTGGACATGAAGTGGGTAGCAGCTATCAGCCCCAAATGTTTAGGCACCATTCTGTAAGCAGAGGCTGCTCATTCATTTCCCTGCAGTCCAGACTCAAAATAATCACACAGAAACTGTATTAATTGTAATACTGCTTGACCAATATCTTAAGCATATTTCTAGTTAGCTCTTACATCTTAAATTAACCTATTTCCATTATTTAATATTTTCCCTCAAGGCTCATGGCTTATTGGTACCAGCATGCAGGCATCTTATTCCTCCAACAACTACCTGGCATCTCTCTGACTCTGCCTACTCTCTATGTCAGATTTCCCACCTGGATATATTGTGTCCTGTTATAGGCCCAAAGCCAATTTAACAAATGGTAATAAAACATATTCACAGCATAGAGAGGGCAATCCCATATCACAGATTTGTCCCTGAGCTGAGTCTCTGCAGGAATATAAGCTGTTCCAGTACAATGTCATTGAGTCCCATTGCTCTGGGGACACTAAGGATAATTTAATCACTGACCTGGCAGTGGGGTTCTGCACCAGGCAGATAAATAATGGTGCCCCTTGCTGATTCAAGCCCTGAGACAAGTACAATAAGGTCCTTAGAATCAAGGGACTGAAGGAAAGCAATACTAAGTTTGATGGAAAGTCCTTCAGGTATACCCTGGCCAAATCATTGTCTGAAGATTCCTGGATTCACCAGCTGCTTAAATTCTGTTCCTGAAGTCATGGAGATGTCTCAAGACCCAACAGTGCTTCCAACTTCCTTAGATATTCAAAGTAACACTTGACCACCAAGGACCCCTGCTGGAAACTTCAGCTTTATAATCATGTGATTGGTGCCAATCATTGTTTCTGGCACCTGACTTACAAGATAGTGTATAGAGCCTTCATAACTCTAGAGTGGTCACAAACAAGACCCTCCAGCAGTTCTACATGAAAAACAAAAGCCTCAGTGACCCCAAAAATAAATTAATAAATTAATGAATAATTTTTACTTTTATAGCTTCAATTTTTCATTAATTCATTACCTCATTCAACTATTTATGTATTCACTGCCCTCATTGTTCATACTCTCTAAGATACTTGAACACATTAATAATTGTTATTTTCAAAGTCCTTGTAATCTGCTTATCTATATTTTATTTCTCAAGGCCTCTGACAATAGGTAGGTTTTCCATTCTTATATTGTTGTTATCCTCTCTGGATTCTAGACAAGTGTGATGGCTGTGAAAACTTTGGTAAAGAGTATTTCTCTGGGTAGGTCATTGGCAAAAAGGAAAGGAGATGGACTAGGAGGAAAGACTGAGAAGACTGTGAAAAAGAGCTAGTTGATGTGTCCACACCAAGAACACAGAGAGAATGTAGGTGTGGTAGGTGGAGTACCATAGGATAAATGGAGAAGGACACTTAAAAGAAATCCCACACTATTGAATTGAATATAATAAAGGGTTTTTTATTCAGGGGTAAACTCACAGATTACAATGCTCTGCTCAAACAGGGAAGAGAAACCAAATGCTGCAGCCAGAAGAGAGAGTGATGCATGCTTTATATCAGCATATATAGTATATGAGGCCAAACCCAAGTGGGAGGGTAACTTAAAGGCTACTGGTTGCAGGAAATCCCACAGCACCTCTCCCTTTTGTTTAAATAAGAGAGTTCTAATTCTAATACAATTTTTTCTTTTTTTATTGTTTTTTATTATGATGATTAAAATTTTCTACTTCCTCACCTCATCCCATTTACCTCCCCCTCCCCCACCTCTCTCTCCTCCTCCTTCTCTAGTCCAAAGAGCAGTCAGGGTTCGCTGCCCTATGGGAAGTGCAAGGTGCTCCCCTCTATTTCCAGGTCTAGAAAGGTAAGCATCCAAACAGACTAGACTCCCACAAAGGTAGTCGGATCAAAACCCAGTGCCATTGTCCTTGACTTCTCAGTCAGCTCTCATTGTCTGCCACATTCAGAGAGTCTGATTTGATCATATGCTCCATCAGACCCAGTTCAGCTGGCCTTGGTAAGATTCCATTAGATCAGTGCCACCGTCTCAGTGAGTGGGTGCAGCCCTCGTGGTCCTGACTTCCTTGCTCATGTTCTCCCTCCTTCTGCTCCTCATTTGGACCTTGGGATCTCAGTCCAGAACTCCAATGTGGGTCTCTGTCTCTATCTCCATCCATCGCCAAATGAAGGTTCTATGGTGATATGTAAGATAATCATCAGTATGGCTATAGGATAGGGCCATTTCAGGCTCCCTCTCATCAGCTGCCTAAGAAACTAGCTGGGGAAATCTCCTTGGACTCCTGGGAACCCCACTAGAGTCATGTCTCTTGCCAACCCTAAATTGGCTCACTTAATTAAGATATATACTTCCCTGCTCCCATATCCACCCTTCCTACATCCCAATGATCCCATTCCCCCAAGCTCTCCCCATCTTCCCCATCTCACTTTTCTCTCCACATCTCCCCTTACACCCCCCCACGCAACCCCCAAGTTTCCAAGTTTTGCCTGGCAATCTTGTCTACTTCCAATATCCAGGAGGATAACTACATGTTTTTCTTTGGGTTCACTTTCTTATTTATCTTCTCTAGGATCATGAAATATAGGCTCAATGTCCTTTATTTATGGCTAGAATCCACTTATGAGTGAGTACATACCATATTCATCTTTTTGGGTCTGGGTTACCTCACTCAGGATAATGTTTTCTATTTCCATCCATTTGCATGCAAAATTCAAGATATCATTGTTTTTTACCACTGAGTAGTACTCTAATGTATATATGTTCCACATTTTCTTTATCCATTCTTCCATTGAGGGGCATCTAGGTTGTTTCCAGGTTCTGGCTATTACAAACAATGCTGCTATGAACATAGTTGAACAAATGCTTTTGTCATATGATAGGGCATATCTTGGGTATTTTATAAAGAATGGTATTGTTGGATCCTGGGGTAGGTTGATTCCGAATTTCCTGAGAAACCACCACACTGATTCCCAAAGTGGTTGCACATGTTTGCATTCCCACCAGCAATGGATGAGTGTTCCCCTTCCTCCACATCCTCTCCAGCAAAGGCTATCTTTGGTGTTTTTGATTTTAGCCATTCTGACAGGTATAAGATGGTATCTCAAAGTTGTTTTGATTTGCATTTCCCTGATCGCTAAGGAGGTTGAGCATGACCTTAAGTGTCTTTTGGCCATTTGAACTTCTTCTGTTGAGAATTCTCTTTTCAGTTCAGTGCCCTATTTTTAATTGGGTTAATTAGCATTTTAAAGTGTAGTTTCTTGAGTTCTTTATATATTTTGGAGATCATACCTTTGTCTGTTGCGGGGTTGGTGAAGATCTTCTCCCAGTCAGTAGGTTGCCTTTTTTGTCTCTTTTTTTGTGGGTATTTTCTCTTTTTTTATTGAAAAAAATTTCCGGTTCCCTGCTCTTCAGACTGGAGAGGGAAGGGGAAATGAATGGGGGGAGGGGGAGAGAAGGGGGGACAGGGAG